CCACTTGGCAGTTGAGAGGCCCTGGGCTCCAGGCAGGGCATAGGATGACTAGGGCTACTCTTGTCTGCCACATTTTTTGTACCCTTCCCATCACCTTGACATTAGGCTTTGCAAACAGGGCAGATTAAGTAACTAACCCTTGACTTCAGCATCTTCTTGGGGGTTTTTGCACCTTTTTTTTCAAAGCAAGGAAATAAAGGAGATAAGGCCCAAGAAATATAGATAAGCCTGAGCTTCCATGGGGTCTCTTAGAGAAGCAACAACTACCCCCACAGCCAGATTACAATGGACAAGAACCAGAATTGTATGCCTTATTATTTTGTCCAGCTAGGCCAAAATTATAAAATTCTCCCTGTTGCTAGGACCTCCCCATCCTATAGAAAAGACGCCTGCTGGCTTCCATGAAGAGCTCTACCATCACCACATTGTTTTGTGATCATCTTTTAGCTCGCCCATCTCCCCTGTTAGGATGTCAACTTCCTAAAGGTGGGGACTTGAGTCTTATTTATAACTCCCCTACTTACTAGAGTGCCCAGCATGTGTAGGAACTTTGTAGATGACAACTGCATATATGTATGTATGTATGTATGTATAGATAGATAACCCTCACATTGTAAGCTTCAGTGGCTACTGGTCCCCATCTACCTGCAGCTTCCTTGACAGCACTGTATCTCAGGCATACAAAATTCAGGGAAGAGAGAGGGAACATAGCCGTCAGCAACAGAAAGGGGTGCAGGATAGCAGCCGGGCAGAGGCAGGATGCCTGAGCAGGGCAGAGTCTTGGCAAGCATCTGGCAAGTTTTGCCTTCACTCACTGACCTTTCCTTCTGGACGGAGGCTCAGGTTTCAGCCTGCTGTGAGGGAAGCTGTCCTGTGGTACAGGATAGGTACTTTCAGTCTCCTGAAAGTACCTTCTTTTTTTCTTCAGTCACATGCTGTAATCTCGCCTAACTGCCGGTAAAAGGTCACACAAGGCCTGCAGCCATTGTTCCAAGGAGATTAGTATCAGGCAGCCTGTCTCCTCACCTCATTCTCAGAAAGATCCCTGTAAAGGGGAAAGGTTAAATATTAGTCAAGGACTGGGTTCTTGTGAAGTTTTGGAGGTAAACTCAGGAAAGACAGAAGATACATACCTCAAGTTTATTTGACAAATATCCCTTCACACATCTCTGATCCCTACAGGATACTACAGAACTGACTTTTTGAAAGTCTTTCTGGCTGCCTCAACAAAGAGATGATTTGGTGTTTTCTGTCCTAGCTCACAGGGAAGTGGCCACATTCCCCTTGCCCCTTGGTTTTCCTGCTCTGTCCTCATTTGCTTCCAAGCACTTTTTTGCCACATCCCTGCCCTCCCCCTCTTCCCCTTGATGGAAGATAATTTTCTTCTCTGCTCCCTGTTCTATAATCCTTACCTATCCCTGAACCACATGGGTTTTGTGTTCTGATCTTCCTTCCTTTCCTAAGTCAGTCTCCTTTATCTTTTAGTCGTCATTGCTTGTGTCTGCTGAACTCCTGGGACCCAGGAGCCCAGCCTCACCCCTAGCATGCTTCAGAGCCCTGGGGAGAAGCCCAATTGTTTAGAGTGATTTGGGTTGGGTTGTCACCAGGCGTGTGATCCTGAGATCCTTACTGAATTGAGTGAAATAAACCAAATGTGTATTTATCAGGATATCTCAGTCCATCTGGAACATTCTATTATTTACAAAATGTTCTCCCTGTTCAGGCACTTAAAATCCTCCCTTTAACAACATGTTATCATTCTCCCCTTATGACACCATCTTGGCTAACCGCCTCTCCACAAGGAGTCAAGAGCTTCTACTCTTGAAGTCACTCTTCCTCTTGCTCTTTTGGCTCTGTGACACCAATTGAGGATTATGTCTTCTTTTGATGAGTTTCCTGGAGAGCAGAGGAATTGGTGTGCATTGTGAAATATGTAGACTGAGGTGAGATTGGAAGGCTAATGAATTGGGGCATCTTCTTTATTCAAGTATCAAATATTTGCTGAGCACCTACTATTTGAAGGCACCAGTGATATGCCTTGGGATTAAAGACATGAAAAAGTCACAGTCCCTGCCCTCCTGCTCTACAAGAAGACAGAGAAAAAGAATCAGATCATTATAATACCAAGAAATAAGTGCCAAAATTAGATATAAACAAAGTGGTCTGATAGGAGACAGGGGGGACATACTTTGTTCCTTGTCTGGGAAAGGCAGCTGATATATCTTGCCTGGCAGGCACATTGTCAGGAATAAGTAGAATAATAACAACTCATGGAACAGGTGATATTTGAGCTGGATCTTGAAAGATGAGAAGGAGTTGCCAGGCGGAGACACCATAGGGAGGAAGGTTACAGAAGAAGAATAATGTCAGGTCCTTACCCTGCCAAAATGTTCTCAGAATCTAGTAAGGTTTGAAAATATTTGGAAAGTAAATGCACAGTTTCAGGGCAAGCTATTGATAGAACTTGATCAGCTGTTTAAGTGAAATCAGAGGCCTGGTTAGGGGAGAGAAAGAGTCTTATGCTTTTACACATATGACTTATAACCTTGGAGAACGAGGGGGCATCTTGGTCACTGTTTCAAGGGAAGGGGAAGCAAGAGAATTTTAACTTTTTCCCTTTGTTCTCAAGCACTCCATAACCACTGGGAAGTTGAGGCTCCTGTTCCTGTATCACAGGGCTCCCATGGGTTACTTAGGGAGTGTGATTGTAAAACAGAGGGTGCCTCCATCCTAATGCTTAGCCTCTGAGCTCTCCTCCAGGCCTGGAGGTCCCACATTGTTGGGATCTCTGTGAGAGTCCATGACTCCTGGGAAAGGAAACAGATCAAAAGCCTCCCATGCCACCCTAGAAGATATAGGGATGGTGGAAATAAACACAGGAAAACATGTTCAACATCACTAGTCACTAGGGAAATGCAAATCAAAACTACATTGAAATGCCACTTCACATGTATTAGAATAACCAGACTTTTAAAGCTGACAGTAGTATATGCTGACAAAGATACAGAGCAATGGGAACTTGCACACATTGCTGGGAATGCAAAATGATACAGCCACTTTAGAAAACAGTTTGGTGATTTCCTACAAAGTTTAGTATACAAGGTCTGACTGGGAAAAGTCCAGCCATTGTGAACATAATGAGAACAGTTTGCACGACATGTAAGCTGGCAGACAAGGAGTGTGCATGTGTGAACAATGATGACTTCACTGTACTAGTCAGTGGGGGCGTTAGATGCCATTGAGTGAGCATGTGTACTGTGTCGCTGTCACATTCAAAATGACTGAGCAAGTAGAGCCATGAATCTGCATCAGATTTCACATTAAGCTTGAACATTCCTCTGCGGAAACTATTTGGATGATTCAGAAGACCACAGCTATGAGCAACTGGTGATTGGCAGTTTCATCATGACAACACACCCACACATGCGTCACATCTTGTGCAGAGTTTTTTGACAAAAACATCAAATCACACAGATGACTCAGCGCCCCCTACAGCCCAGATTTTGCACCCTGTGATTTCTGGGTTTTGCCAAAACTAAAATCACCTTTGAAAGGGAAGAGATTTCAGACCATTGATGAGATTCAGGAAAATACAATGGGGCATCTGATGGTAATTGGAAGAACTGTGTGAGGTCCCAAGGTGCCTACTTCGAAGGGGACTTAGGCATCATTGTCCTATGTACAATGTTTCTTGTGTCTTGTGTCTTCTTCAATAAATCTCTCTATTTTTTCTTTGTTTTAAGATTTTATTTACTCACTTTTAGAGAGAGGAAGGGAGGGAGAAAGAGAGGGAGAGAAGCATCAATGTGCAAGAGATACATCAATCAGTTGCCTCTCGCACATAGCCAACTGGGGACCTGGCTCACAACCCAAGTATGTGCCCTGATTGGGAATCAAACCAGTGACCTTTTGGTTTGCAGGCTGGCACCCAATCCACTGAGCCACACCAACCAGGGCTCTGTTTCTCATATTACATGGCTGGATACCTTCTGGACAGATCTCGTACATTTACCATAGAACCCAGATCCCACTCTTGGGTATTTACTCAAGAGAAATGCAGACCACATTCAAAGACCTCTAGTCTACTTAAATACTTCTGTGCAAGTGTTATAGCTGATTTATTTGTAATACCCCAAAATCGGGAGCAACCCAAATGTCCATCAGCTGTCAAATGGAAAATCAACCTGATATATTAATATAACAGAATTCTACTTGACAATAAAAAGGAATGAATTACATATATATATAAAATCATACCATGATCAGATATTATATATATAAAAGATCTCAAAAGCATCACATTAGGTGAAAGGAGCCAGGCTCAAAAGGCTACATACTATGTTCCAATTATGTGCCATTCTGGAAATAGCAAAACTATAGGGACAAAAAGTGGTTCCCGGCAGAGGAAGAGGACTGATGTCAAAGAAACACAACACATGAGAGAACTTTTTGGAGTATTGGAAATGTTCCATATGGAAAGTGTGGTAGTGATTAGACAACTGAACACATTTGTCAAATCATACACTTAGAAAAATGAATTTTATTCTCTGTGTATTATACCTTGGTAAACATAAGTAGCAAAGACTCTCCTGAACCTCTGTAGCCCCCAAAACCAGGCTCAAGAATATGACAACCAGGATTCCACCAGCTGCTCAGGGCACCCCTTGAATATACAATGACTTAAAAACAGAGTTCACACTGCTGCCCTGATCAACTGTTGCTTTTCCCCCCAAAGCTAGTGCCCACACTTCCATACCTACTCCTGGCTTCTAGCCCCGGGCACGGCACGTTCTGACCACAGATTTGTGACACATAATCCCCATTCATGACCCATTAACCTAGCCCAAGTTTCCACACACTGGGGCTGAGCTTGCAGGATATTTGGCTGGTCTGCTACAATTCCATCATCGGGATCAAGGAGCCTTTCTGCTTCTGTGCAGAGGGCATCCTGCAGCCTCTTTATGGCCCCTGAGGGTGTATTTGGGGGTCTTTCCTTTCAGTGCTCCTCACATGGGTCAACTGCTCCAGTGTGCGGTGGGCCACCCGGGTTCAAGACATTTTCACAGCTGGGAAGCTCCTGGCCCTGGCCCTGATTATCATCATGGGGGTTGTACAGATCTGCAAAGGTGAGTGTCATTGAAACAATGGGACCCTGTCAAATGTCCCATCCCTTGCATGTACACACCCCCTCATACTGTCTTTGGGTGTGTGCACACCCTGAGATTTCCCAATTCTGGCCTTAAATGACTTCTGTTCTTCACTTGTTTGACAAAGGGGAAGAGAAACCATTTTCCACAGGAAATAGGACAGGCCTTGCTTGTTAGCAGATTCAGCCTTCCCATGCTGACCTCATGGCTCTGAAGACCCCAGATCTCTGGATTCCTATTGCCTTCTTGCCCCAACCCCATGGAAGCTCCCTGCACCTTATATTGTACCTCATCCATACTTAAAATGGGGGGTGGAGGAGGAGATTTTATGTTTTTAAATTACAATCTACAAGAGAGAGCTCTACATTTCTTGGGCCCCTGCCCGAATACCCCACCAGATTTGGTCCTTTCCAAGCCCAAGTCTGTATTTGGTTTCCCTGGGACCCATGCCACCACAAGGCTCTGCCCAGTGTCACTGCCTCCTAGAGAAAGTCAGCTGACAAGCAGGAGACCTCCCACCTGCCCACAAGCCCAGAAGGCAGTGTGGGGTGCCTGCATTTTTACTCCAGGAAACATAATTAAAAGTCTGCTATATAAAATGTCCATGATTAATTTAATCAGATGGATTAAGTTCTTTAGCAGGTTTTATTGTTTTCAGGAATTTAGACATAAGGAAATCACTGTGCTGTGTTTTCAAAAATAGAGTCTCTCATAATCTGGCCCCAGTGCTTTCTCCTGATCACTCTAATCTCCTTACTCGCTGGCCCTATGCTGGGTTACAGATGAATAAGTAAAGTATGAGCGGTTCCACTGTGTCTCATTGCAACCTCAGTCAGCAGCCTTTCTTGAGAGACCTCTGTGTGCAGGATACTGTGCTAAGGGCTGGGAAGAAAATTTAAAAGCTCTTTGCTGAAGGACCCCTGTCCTCAGGGAATCTACACCATAAAAGGGGAAACCAAATGCACACCTTAGAAAGAAACATTTAGAAGTTGACAAGGAGAGTAGACAGGCTTAAACTAATAGAGCATTAGGGAAGCTTATGTTGGCATGTCTGTTGTTCTTGATGCCTTCTTCATGAATTGTACAAACTTAAACATCAGGGAGAGGGGTGAGGAGACTGACAAGGGCCCTAATAATGCATCTCCAAATCCCAGCAAGCCAGTTCCAGTTTACCCTGCTAGTCCCCCAAGTTATCCTGCTGTCCCTGGTGACCTTCCCCTGGCCTTTCCCTCCAAGTAACTTTGCCTTATAAAAAAAGAACATTCAGCCCTGACTAGTGTGGCTCAGTGGGTTGGGCATTGTCTGAAAACTGAAAGGCCACTGGTTTGGTTCCAGGACAGGACACATGCCTGGGTTGTGAGCCAGGTCCCCAGTTGGGGGCATGCAAGAGGCAACAGATTGATGTATCTCTTACACATCGATCTTTCTCTCTCTCTCTCTCTTTCTCCCTTGCTTCCCGTTTCTCTGACCAGGTATCAAACTGGTGACCTTTCCATTTGCGGGAAGATGCCCAACCCACTGAGCCACGATAAATAAAATTTTTTTCAAAAAAAGAACATTAAGAACTGTGCTTTGAACCTGAGCCCCATTGGAGTAATGGTTACCAGGTTCTGGGAGGTCCTGGAGTTGTTCTGCTCCTTTTGGTCCCACTTCCCCAATGCATGGGGTGTACTGGAGACGAGACAAAGAGTTGAATCATTGCCGAAGGGAGCAGTGGGGACCAGACCAGGCAGGCCAGGGGCAGCCGGGCCTCTGACTGGTCTCTCTGAGCAGCTTCCTGCCCCTTGTGTCCACAGGAGAATACTTCTGGCTGGAGCCAAAGAATGCATTTGACAATTTCCAAGAACCCAACATCGGCCTCATTGCACTGGCTTTCCTTCAGGGCTCCTTTGCCTACGGAGGCTGGAATTTTCTTAATTATGTGACTGAGGAACTTGTTGATCCCTACAAGTGAGTTGAAATAGCCCAGCCTTTTCTCTCTTCCTGGAAAGGCCAAGGCACCTGCTACTGGAAAGGGGGAACCAGGTGTCCACTGCCCACTTCTCCTCCCAGCCCTGATTCTAATTGTGGCCCATCTATCCTGAAAAAGCAGTTTATTACCCAGGAACTTAGACCTCTTGCCATTCACTCTGCCAGGAGAAGAAAGCTGACCCGGAAACACTACCAGAGTAGGTTAAAGGCTGAGAACGCTGCTGAGATAACACTACTGCCTTAGAGAATGAAATGTGCCCCGAGTGGTTTTCAGGCATCTTACTCACCTGTTTTGGAACAGGTGGTCTCTATGTCCTGAGGCAGAGGAAAGGGCGCATTGTGTAGCTGATGATCAAGAAGAGATCAGTAGGTATGGAATGTATGTCCAGCCTAAACTGTCTAGATAATTCCTTTAAATTATCCTGCCCATATTGAGAAAAATTCCTCCTACCACCCCTTCAGGAAGAGGGAAAATCACAGAAGGCTGCAGTCAGCTTCATGAAGAAAAACAGAGGCACTCCCCAGACGCCATGGTGAGGCAGGCGGTCCCAGGTGCCACGCCTTTCCCCTCTTACCTCCTCTCCCTCTACAGGAACCTTCCCAGAGCCATCTTCATCTCCATCCCACTGGTCACATTTGTGTATGTCTTTGCCAATGTCGCTTATGTCACTGCAATGTCCCCCCAGGAGCTGCTGGCATCAAACGCAGTCGCTGTGGTAAGAAATCACACTCACAGCCCTTCAAACTAGGCAGGTTGACATAGACTTGCCTACTGAGCTACCATTGCTTTCCCCTGACCCATGGATTTGTGAAATTGGAAGTCATCCCAAGTCCGTAGGACAGAAACCACATCTTCAGGTGCTCAGGAGCAAGCTGGTGGACATGCTGTACCTAGAACAACCACAACAGCAGAGCTGAGTAATTGCCACAGAAACTGTATGGCCTGCAAAGCCGAATATTTACTCTCTGACCATTTACAGAAAAAGTTTGCCAACTTGTGATCTAGGGCATTTTAAACTCTGAATGCAATGACTGTAGAAAGGAGACAGGCTTCTCCCCGGAAAGATGCCATCTTGCTCGAGACATGCTGTTTCCTGCTCCATTTCCACCTCGGGAAATCAGGCAACCTGACTCCTTCACTCATCAGGGAAAAATGTGCACCATAAATGACTAGGAAGTAGGAGTGGGTTGTGTTTTGGGGGGAAAGAGATCCTGCAGGTCCAAGGCTCTGGGGTCCTTGATACCCAGGAAAGACCTGGGATCCATGCTACTCCCTCACCTGGCCTCACCTGGGCCTTGACCTCACCCTGTCAAACAGTGTCTTCACTTGTCTTATTGAAGACTAAAGAAAGAGGCCCTCCCAGGTCCCATAGCAGCCTGTTCCACAGGCTTCCCCAGCAGGACAGCTATTCTAAACCCATCCCCATTATATGGTATAAATCAAGTGTGTACTTGACCCAGAGAATATAGAAAGGCTGGTTCCCTGACATTTTATACACGAACACTATAGTGTCACCACCTTTTCCTTCTCAGCCTACATAATAGTCTCTTATCATTTTCCCCCAATAGCATTTGTTTCTATGAATTTAGAAATTCTCACTCTATGAATTACGATTCATCTCTAATTCTGAGGCTCAAAAATTAAGAAGCTTGCTCAAGGTCTTACAGCTCCTGAATACTGAGCTGAGATTGGAGCCCCAACCTGCCTGACTCACTAGTGTATCGTGTATCGAGGCCTAGGCTCAACGTGGCTGGTCTTCAGTCCTGGCCCTGCCACTTCCTGGGTGTGTGATCTTAGGCCATCCACTGAATTGCTCTGTGCCTCAGTTTCTTCATCTGTAAATCAAGGATAACAAATGTTAGTTCATTATTAGCAGTATTAGTATCAACACCACACACTTCCTCCCTCAGTTAGCTGTTGGAGGTGTTGGTGTGAGATGGGAGCCAGAGCGTAGACACACACCACACCTCCTCTCAGGAGTTGAGCCAGAGACCAAGGAAGGGTGGGCCTGGGAGGGAGCATTCCTAGCAGTGATGCACAGGTGCAGGGTTGTAGCCTCTCCTTTTCACTTACCCCTTGTTTTCTCTCACAGACTTTCGGAGAGAAGCTCCTAGGGGTCATGGCCTGGATCATGCCCATTTCTGTTGCCCTGTCCACATTTGGAGGAGTCAATGGGTCTCTCTTCACCTCCTCCCGGTGAGTGCTGTCTGGGTCCTTTCAGGGCCAGGGGCCACTCTGCTGTGTATATAGCTCTGTGTATATGTGGGGGCTTGTCTCCGTCAGCAGGGTCTGTGTGGACACCTGGACAGTGGCCTTGAAGGGGGTGATTGCTCACGTGAGGGCTGCGTGTATCAGTGTAGATGCAGAGAGGTGTAATGCTGCTCACGTGGTTACCTATGATGTGTGTGCCTTCACGTGAAGTGGTAAAAAGCCCCATCCCACCTTGTTTCAGTTTGAGCAGGAGGCTGAGGAGGCCCGGGCTGCCTGATGCAGTCCCAGGTCAGGGGCTGTGGCTGGCAGCAGGACTGTCTCAGCTGCAACTCCAGAGCTCCTTTTCCACTCTCCTAGAAATGGGCTGTGCTGGCTAGAAAGGAATCCCACTCTGAATGGGATCAGGAGGGACCTGTGCCTCTGGGCTGGCCTCCCAGGACAGTTTTGGGACCAGACTACAGGTGGGACAGGATCATCTCTGGGTGCCCTGCGGGTGCTGGCTCCTCTCTGCTCCATAGACAGGCAGCTATGGGAGGTCTTCGTGTGACCATCCCTGAGACCCAGGTGGACTCACTCATGTGACATGAGAGAGCTGGGGAAGAGCATTGAGACAAATGCAAAAGGAAAGCATTTGTCTAAAGCCACAACCCTCATCCCTCTCAGGGAAGCCAGAAGCTCAAGGGAGCCCTGGAGTCCCCATCTCCTGTTTCCACACATCCAGGACCTATCTCCTTGGTACCCCTTCTTGCTGTCTCCAGAATGGGCTGTAAGAACAGCAGATGATGGATGATTTCCATCAGTGTGGTTCTAGAGGTCTTCCCAGGGTTCTTAGAAAGCCCCTCAGTGCTCAGGGCACAGTCCTACTGAAAAAATACAGCAAAGGAGTATGTCCCTGAATTCAACTACTTGTAAAGCCACCCATCACATCAGGGGAGAGTTCCCATAAAATAGCAAAGGAGTGCCATGTTTTCAGGACCCAGGGCAGGAAAGAGGGAGTGTGGGTGTCCCCTGTTCTCCGGGACCCTATGACACATCCACAGCAACCTCGTGTGCATGTTACACAGGAGCAGTGGCCATCTGGAGGCCCCAGCCGTGGGTGAGCAGTGGAAGAGCAATGACCCATGAGGCTGTCTGGGATCTATTGGAGGAGAGTGACTGGCTATAGTCACTGTAGAGTGGGGTTTGTCCCTCAGGCAGGCCAAGTAGTGGTCTGCATGCATGTGGTATAGCAGTGTGTGCATGCAGGAAATGCAGCCTGGTGTACTCAGCCTCTGATTCAGAGGTGCAGCTCACCCACCAGGCCTCCTCTGCTCATCTTCTAGTTCTTTTCTTTCTTACTTTCTCTTCCTTGCCTTCCTCTCTCTTTCTCTTACACTTTTGTGTTTTGTGTTTTGGGGGTATGGAGAAGATGATTCTTCCTGAGGAGTAGGAGTGTGTGTGGGTGTGTGTCATGCTTACTGTCGTTGTCTCCTCTGTTGTCAGCCAGCTGGGCAAGGATTGTCTCTTGTGAACTTGACACTTACAAATGCTGTTGGACCTGGACAACTCCACTTGGTCCCGGCTGCCTGTGGAGGAGGGATGTGAATGCGGGACCCTGGCTATGTGCATGATGAGGCCCACAGGACACTTGGGTCTCAGCAGGGTGCATGAGGCCGCACTGTAGAGGGCCAGTGCCATGTGGCTGCTTGAAACTAATGACACTAGCCTAGGGATTTGGTGATGGCAACTGATGGTGATGCATTTGGCTACTTGGGACCATAATTGACCCCCACACTTTTGATGAGGTACTGCTTTTAGCTTCACTCTCCCCCATATACAAATTACGAAGTAAATGACAGTTCTCTTCAGAACACCCAGTGTGCCAGTTCTGTGCCTTTCTGTCTCCATCACACCATCCCCTGCTTCTCACCCCTGGGGTGATCCTTTTCCTACAAAATTCTAGAAAAAAGAAGTGGTATAATTCACATTGATATGTAAATGACTCCTAACAGCTTGTAGTAATTTTTTCTCTCAGGAGAAGAAAGGGGAAGAAGGCCTGCTTTTTATGTTATAATTTCTTTTTTAAAAAAATCACTCAGTCCTGGCTGGTGTGGCTCAATGGATTGAGTGCTGGCCTGTGAACCAAAGGGTCACTGGTTCGATTCCCAGTCAGGGCACATGCCTGGGTTGCAGGCCAGGCCCCCAGTAGGGGGGCAGTTAAAAGGTAACCACACATTGATGTTTCTCTCCCTCTCTCTCTCTCCCTTCCTCTAACAATAAATAAATAAAATCTTTTTAAGAAAGAAAAAATGTCATTAAAAATATACAAGAAAAAGAACAAAATTTTTTTTGAAATTCACTCTTAAACATCAACATCCTGGTCATAATATTGTACTATAGTTTCGCAGTTATGCTACCAACAGAGAAACTGGGTAAAGAATACATAGCACTGCTCTGTATTATTTCTTACAACTACATGTGAATATATAATAATCTCAAAAATAAAAAGTTTGTTTTAAAATTTAAAAAATTTATTCTGATTGCAATTTTTTGTCTTTTAGAATTTTCAAGTTTTTTCTATAACATCTAAAGGAAAAAATTTAAATTACTCATAATCCCACTACCCAGAAATAATTAGCTGCTATTTTAATATGTGTTTTTACATGCCCCATGAATAATTTTTTTTAATCCTCACCCAAGGATACGTTCATTGATTGTAGAGAAAGAGGAAGGGAGAGAGAAGAACATTGATCAGTTGCCTTTATTGTATGCAACACAATAAAGGATTGAAACTGCAGCTTTTTTGTATACAGGATGACACTCCAACCAACTGAGCCACCCAGCTAGGGAAACAATTTTTAAGTGAATGGAACTTTACTTAAGTGTATGGAACTTAAGTGTATGGAATCATTGGTTTTCTATCTTGCTCTTTTCATTTACCATATACTGTGAACATATTCTCATGTAATCAGTTTTTTTCTAGAACATTATTTAGACCGTATAATATTCCATTTTATGGGTATACCATAATTTATGTTATCAATCTCCTACTTTTAGACATTTAGGATATTTCATTATTATGAAATATCAAAATATCTTTATTTTGTTTTTTATTATTGAAATATCTTTATATATGCACATTTCACTAATTATTCATTTCTTTTGATGGCTTTTTGGAAATAGAATAAATAGCTTAAAGATATAAAATTTTTAGGTACAATTTGCATACAATAAAATACACAGACCATAAGTGTTCAGATTGATGAGTTTCAGCAATTGTAGACAGGCATATGATCCACAACTAGACAGAGGACCTCTGCACGTATCCCACAAGTACTCAAGTGTCTCTGCTCAACCATGCCTTCCCCAACCCCAGAGACAACTACTTTCTGAGTAGGATATGAATGCTTTTAAGGCTTTCCTTGTACAGTTCAGTCTCCTTGTATCCCCTGAGGATATGGAAGGCACTTTTTTAAATGGAATTAAGGCCTTAGACAAAGGAGAGAGGCTGCTCCCACAGCAGCACTCCCGGCATTAAGAGAGAGCCACAGAGTGACAGCACAATCATCAGTAACCCCAAGCCTCCCAGGCCACACTCAGGGTTTCCACACACCCAGGGTCCATCCACGTACCCACCAGCTGCTTCTGGTTTGCCTGCATCAGCATTTGTGATTGTGGGTCCTGTGACTAGTGGGCTGGAAGGCATGCACGAGAAAGTGGTACCTGGTTGGGGGTTGACGCCCCGGCGTGGGCAGAAGCAGGGCATGGATGAGGGAGCCTGGGCTGGGGAGGGAGCCTTCGAGGGTAGTCCAGGGGCCACCCCAGGCTGACCTGCTTTTCTCCCTGCCAGGCTGTTCTTTGCCGGAGCCAGGGAGGGCCACCTTCCCAGCGTGTTGGCCATGATCCATGTGAAGCGCTGCACCCCCATCCCAGCCTTGCTCTTCACAGTAAGGGCCCCTCCTTCTGCCGGTCCTACACCACCCTCCCTCTCTTGCTTTCTCTGAGCTGGGAGTTCACCCTTCCCACAGACACCCCTGTAACCCTTCTTCTGCTCCCGGACTTAGAGAATTTGGCAAGTGGTGTACATAGGCTTCACTAATATGAAGAGAAAGAGCAAGGCAAGAAACTGAGTCCTGAAAGACCTTAAGGCTCTCAGGCCAGGTCATTTTCTTTCTCCTATCTTCTGGATCAGAATGACCTGACTTCCTCAAGATTTTATAACCTCACAAAGAAACTTCTCCTTTCTTGACTCTGCTCTGCACCTGTTGCCCCCAGGGTTGCCCTTTGGGCCTCTGCTCCCAGCAGCGCACACCCCTCCCCCTCCCATTGGTCTTCTTACCCCAGGATTTTCTGCCAGTGGGAAATGTCACTAAAACAAATTCAGTGTTAAGGGTACACCAAATCAGAAAAATCATAAAGGAATACTGGCACACTGAAAATGGAGAAGAGGAAACTTGGGATGGGGTGGAGGGGGAATGGGAGTAAAATGACCCCAGACTAGAGTCATTCAGAGAGAGCAAAAAAGAAGGAACAAAGCATTGTCCCATTGAACCCCCCCTTTTTTTCCTTCTGGATCCTGAATAAAACATTGAAAATTACTTTGTCTATCAGAGACACAGTTATAGCAGGATAGGAGAGCCCTCGGAAGTCAAGGACATTCGTTGTACAACATTGGGGGGAATTTCAGAATGTTCAGATACAGGGAGAAGGTCATCATGATTGTTTGTTGTGAAAGGTGATCGGAGAAACACAACATTCCCAGCGGCCAAAGCCATTTTTCATTTTGAGCCATTGGTGCAGCACTATGACTACGAGGCAAATACAGTAAGAATCTGGCTCATGCGTTCATTAAAATGTTCTCAGTTATTTTCACCATGAGATCTCACAGGAAAATTGAGCCTTCTATTGGCCTTCATGTATTAGCAGAAGGGAAGAACATTGTTCCGAGAGAGCCACTGAAATGATTTTGAAGTTGGAAAGTGTATTCTATCAAGAAAACATCACAGGGATGTTATGAGGCTTAAACAAGTTAATATTTGCAGAATGTGGGAAATAGAGTCCAGCACCTAGTAAATAAGTCTTTATGATATTTAAAAAAGGAAGGAAGAAAAACAAATGACTCAGACAGGGGAAGAGGATGAGGGCAAGATAAGGCCTTAGTCTGCAGTTAACAATCTGCCCTAAAATGATAAAAAGAAATGTACCGTAAATGAGACCAGGGAGGACATGGAGCCAGGTGCCACCAGTGTGGCCAGTCTAGTTATTTACAGCCAAAATCTGTTCTGACTGGTTAATCTCCATGCCACACCAGTGATTAAATATTTTATCACCCTCGCCATCGGAAAGAACTTCCGGGCAACAAAGGTGTTGATGATGGCCTGGGTTTCTAGGAGTGGTTAAACAGTTTCCATTTTGAGACATTCTTTATGAAATGGCCACCTGCCTGAAGCACGCGCACAGTCCCCGACCTGTAAACAGCTCCAGTCTCCAAATATCCTTCTGATCACTGACGATGTGCTTCCCCCATCCCCCTCAGTGTGTCTCCACCCTGCTGATGCTGGTCACCAGCGACATATACACACTCATCAACTATGTGGGCTTCATCAACTACCTCTTCTATGGAGTCACAATTGCCGGACAGATAGTTCTTCGCTGGAAGAAGCCTGACATCCCCCGCCCCATCAAGGTGCGAAAACCTCCCGGTGGGGTCCCCCCACCCCCACCAGTGGTTTCAGCTGCAGCGCAGATTTTTCAATCACCTTGTTCTCAGCTGCTGACCTACCCATCCCCCATATGATGGTAACAGACCCTGTGGGAAGCAAGGGCCCTGTGGGAATGGGGCAGCCAATTATTCCCATCTTCTGCTGGGGATAGGACCAGAGCAAACTGCAGCTGGAAAGATAAATTAGATTAAATGATATTTTCATCACATTATTTCTTTGTTTCCTATAACTGTCTTAAACTGCCGCTGATTGCTCAGGGCTCCCTTATCGCTCCAGCGTTTTCCTGGATCCTCTTGTCTGGCCAGTCTCTTCCTTGTCCCTCCAGATAGCTGGGTCCACTTGTTCTGTGCTTCTATCCCAGAATGAGTTTCCTCCTTTCATCTGCGTATCCAAATTCTAACCATTTTCCACATAACCTTCAAGTACCTCCTCCTCTTTGAAGCTTCCCAGTACACTCCAGCCATCCATGAGTGAGCCTCCCTTTTGAAACTGCTGTGACCCTATACATAGCAGGGTACCCAGTGAACCTATTGGTTGTTACAAGAAATAACTTTGTGATGGGTTTTACAGGATTACTCAGAACAAAATATGCAAGAGTACTCCAGATTTTCCTGCAGCTCAGAAGAATAGAGTATGGCCCTAAGTTATTTGAACAATTCTATATTGGAAACAGAGGGACCCTAGATGCTTCTAGAAGATTCTTCCAGCTGAGAAATCAAGGGCCCTCCAAATCTCTGTTTGCCCCTCACTTTCCTACCACTGTTGGAAAGCCTGCTAGGTGGAGAAGTAGAAGAAGCCCATCTCCCCACCACATGCATACCCGCTGACAAGAGGGGCCAAGGAGTGGAATCTAGAGGCTAGCTCTCTGCTGGGAACTCCCACCAGTGTTTAGCAAGAAGGGATGAATCCCAGAAAGAGATGCTTCTTTCTGAACAAAGTCAAGGGCCTAGACTGCCTTATACTATGCCAACTTTTCTGATTTCTTGGGTGTTGGCAGATTTTTCTTCTCAAATGGCTTGAAAGAAATACGTAGGGGCTGATCCTGGTGAGAGGGATTCTCCATTTGCCTCGTGCCCAGATGAGGGCTCTGCCTAGAAGTGGGTGAGGGGCAGGGAGCCTGACTGACTCAGGTGGTTTCCTGCTTGCCTCTCACTCATTTCCCCACCTCTCCTCCACCCTACGGCCACAGCAAGTATATACCACTGTGCCAGCAAGTCCCCATGGGCTGTTTTGGCTGCCATAGGCACGTGGCATGGATGACAAGGCTTTGTTTGATCCTCCCCAGGAGGGAGGGGGTAGGCAGTGAGGATCATTCCCTCCTTAGGTTCCCCGTCCTCTTCTTGTCCCCTGGTCTAAGTTTACTAACATTTGTTGACACAGCACTTGCCCAAGGTTCAGGGTGTGGGAGCCTTAGAGCTGAGTGAAGCTCAGCCTTTGCACTCAGAGGTACTCCCTGAGGGTGAAGAAAGGGGAGGGTGCCCTAATCCTGGGTCAGTAGGGTCTACCCAGCTAACAGCACCTTTGCTCCACAGATAAACCTGCTGTTCCCCATCATCTACTTGCTGTTCTGGGCCTTTCTGCTCGTCTTCAGCCTGTGGTCGGAGCCCGTGGTGTGTGGCATCGGCCTAGCCATCATGCTGACTGGAGTACCTGTCTATTTCCTCGGTGTTTACTGGCAACACAAGCCCAAGTGTTTCAATAACTTCATCAGTGAGTTGTTGAAGGCTCTGGGTGCCTAAGGGCCTCCTGGTCTGGGGTGGAGTGGTCAGCAGTCTAGCAGGAGAAGCCCACCAGAATGAGGAGGGCTAGGCTGGGCCACAGAGCTCTGGTGAAGGAGCTGGGGCAGGAAAGGGCAGGTGCCTCCCCAGGCACCTCTGAGGAGAGAGCAGCTGATGTTTCCACACAGACTTTGGACCTGCAGGAGTAGGCAACTTGATAGCTATCCTGCAGGAGCTGCCCTGGGCTTGGTGGAGGCTGGCAGAGGCCCTGGAATTGGTGGTCAGTGGGCGTGAGGACAGTAGAAAACTGGGGCCTTGATGAACAAGGGGCAGCTGGCAAATAGGCTGCCCGAGACACAGGAGGCAGGTAGGGGCATCTCCTGGAGGGGAACATTTCCTGAAGACATGATGGCTCTGTAGAGGCAAAACCCAGGACAGGAGAGCAGGGAAGAGCATGGTGGGCCACTCGGCACTGACCTGGTTTTTGTGTGACCTCCTCCCACAGTGTTGCTAACCCTGGTGAGCCAGAAGATGTGTGTGGTTGTGTACCCCGATGTCGGGGGTAGCTCTGGGACAGAGGTGATAAATGAGGACACAGAGCAGCAGTGGCAGCCCATCGCCTCCAAGGACAAGGACTAGTGGAACAGCCCGGCCCTGAGGACCACCATCTCTTCTCAGTTGCCTCCTCCCTCTTTTACCCGCTTTCTGTCCTCCTGCCCTGCCTGGGTCCCCCCAACACACACCCCTCTGCTTCTGTCAAACAGGGACAGGACCTGGGGATGAGTGGTGAGAAATTATAAACAAAGACACTAACTTTAGTACCCAAAGAACCAGACCTTCACCCCCAGCACCTGTGCCCAAAGGCAGGGCTGCCCATGCTGCTGTGAGAGGACAGTGGAGCTGCTGGAGTGCCCTCCGGAGCCCTCTCTCCCCAGCCCTCACCCTGTTGCCTCCTCAGGAGCCTGAGTTCAGGGTTCAGGACTGCTTTCCCTTCCCATTCCTGAACCCAAGGCCTCAGCTCTGAGAGAAGTGGCAGCAACAAGCAACAGTGAGTAGGCTGAGGAGGGACAGACTCAAGCAAATCTGTCACCATTAAAAGTCAGCTGGAGAGACCTGTATCGCTTCCCTCTGCCCCCCCCCCCATTCCTCCCCCCACGCCTCCATCCATCACAGCCTGGGCTCCCTGTCCAGAGTAAGTTCCTCTGGATACCATCCCCACCCACATCCCATCCCCCATCCCCCACTGGCTAAGGACCAAGGAAATAGGGGGAACTGCCCCTCACCTGACCCCCAGCCAGTCCTGAGGAACAGATTGGGAAAGGCTCAGATTGCAGAAACCCAGCCTTGCCCCTGACCCCTGCATCATACCCCCAACTGGGTGCCAAAGCTTTCTGAAGCCAGAAAGTCCTCTCCTAATGACAAAGCAACTCAGCTCCTCCTCCCTCCCCACACCCCTGGGGAGGAACAGTCACCCTGTCACCTTGCAGCTATGCTCCCAGCACATACCACTCAGCCAGCACTGCCTGCCCCTGCCCCCATCGTGCCCTTTTCCTCCCCTCTCTGGACCTTGGCTCCTGGGACCTAGGACTGGGTGTGAAGGCTCCCCAAGCCCTTCAGGCCTGAAACCTGAGCCAAATCTGCCTTAAGTCACCTCCCATCCAAGAACTGGACCTAAAAATACTCCCTTATTTCTAACCTTCAGGGCAGACCTGGTATGAAAAGTTTTCCCCTAGAGAGAGGGTGCTTTCCCATCGCTCAGAGGGGCCATTTAGGAAGAAGGCCAGTTCCTCCCTCCTCCCCCAATTCTACTAACCCCTCTCAGGTCCCACCACTGTCCTGCCTTTGGACAGCCTCCAGGGCGGCGTGAGAAGGCAGTGGTGGCAGGTGCCCACTTTGGAGGCCCTTGGAGAAGCTTGTCCATGGAATGAGGACTCTGGCAGAGTCCTTTCCCTGTGCTCCAAAGGAAAGAGGCAGTGTTTGCCCTGGGCCTGGAGCCTTCCCGCCACACCTGCTGTGCTAAGGACTAGATCCTTTTATCCAAAACAGGAGCCTCCCCTTTCGTGCCACTCCCCATACCATCTGCTTAAACTGGAACACCTGGGAGCCCCTCTGGCCTGCTCCAGTCTCCCAGCTTCCTGCCCGGCCTGCCTGACCCTGCATTGGTGAGATGCCAGGTTTGGGCTGAGTTATGGTTCCTTCTGAGGGGACTCCAGGTGGGCTGGGGCTGGCCCCTGGAGGGTCAGGGGACCATCCTCTTATTTCTTCTTCTCATTCCTCCAACCACCTTCCCTCCTTCAAGTATTTTTTCTAAGTGGATGCCTTACTTTTTGGAGAAATATTTTTGAAGCTGGCATTTCTATTTCTTTTGGATTTTTTAATGTAAGGTTGTTTGGGGGAGCAAGGAGTTGGTTATACCTGGATAATAATTGTCTGTCTTTGAGTTGGTTTAGGTTTCAGAGGGTGGGTTGGTTGGTTTTGTGGAGGGTTTGGAGTTTTTTCTTTGATGTAATAAAATTTAAAATGGAAATGGAGTTGTTAGTGTTGATAATTCAGCATTATCAGGAAAAGTGTGAAAGAGTCTCCAGGCATTTTCTGTCTTTGTCAGGAGGTCTGCTTGCCAGATTCCTTCCAAGACGGCATTCCCAAAGGCCTGTCCCAGGGGCCAATGGCAGTCCTTTCAAACAGCCACTTCTTTTGAACCAAAAACTTGCTCTCATTTCTTCTGTGAAGTCACGAAGTGTTATTAAGTTTCTGCTCTGTGTACTGTGCTGAAAGCCTGCAGACTAGTAGGCTAGGAAGAAAAACCTCATCACTACCCAATGTGGGAATGTAGGCACCAAGCTGAATGGAGGAAGGTAAAGGCAAAAGCAGTCCCTAAGTCTCGGTCAGCAAAGGCTTCTGGTGCCCGGACAGTGAGAGCTGAATGAGGGAGAAAGGGACAGCCTGACCCTGTGGAGAGGTGGAGAGTGGGACTTAGGAAAGCACCCAACTGAGTCCAACGAGCTTGATGGGAGAGACTGAGAGATGAGATGGGGTCCACCTAGCAATACAGAGCCAAGGAAGAGGAAGATTTCTAGGTGGAAGACCAGGAGAACTGTTGGACTAGGACAAAAGAAGAAGTGGTTAAGGTAGGGACAAGGACCTCCTGATGCTTTGGGTTAACTACTAAAGGAAGTTAATGGGATTAGATTCTATCCTTGCTTGGAGTCCCTTCTTTGTGGGCATCCCTCCCACTGCCTGTCCTGGAACAGCATCATTCCAGAGCCAGCACTGCTGACAGACATGGGCAGGAGGGGAAGTAGGGTGGAAAGGTGTCACAACATCACCCTCCACCACCTGGGCCACTGTGAAGACACAGGCAAGCAAGATGCCTCCATTCCCTGTCCTGGCTGGCCCTAACAGTCCACCAGCTTTGTGGCTGGTGTTCTTGTAGACTGAGGTTGGAGGCTCACCATTCACATGGGCACAGACACTTGGCTCCAAGTCCCACATCAGCCACTGAACAGCTGTGTGTCCTTGGACAAGTCATTTAACCTATTTAGCAATGGGGGGGGGGGGCGTGAGTGTTCCTGTATCTCCCTGCCCAAGGTTGTTCCAAAAGAGTGAGGGCAAAACTGGGCAGAGGCCAGTCTTGTGTAAGAGGCCCTTCTCCAAGCTTCACAGCTACTCTTTGGGACCCCTTCTTTTCCAGTACACACTTTTCCTTTCCCTAGGTGGCCCAAGGTCTTCCTTCATGTCACCCCATTCCAGCAAGCCTAGCCCTCCCCTATCCCCTCTTGCTCCATGGAGACACTTGTCCCTGGGGGCTCCCTCTCTCTCTGTGAGATGATACTTGCTGATCTTTCAACCTGGTCCAATGCGATAATGTGAGTCTTTTCCTGAGCAACATGCATTTATTTTTAACCTGGGCAGTTCACCTGTCTTAACCCTGTCAGCCACTTTAATGCTAGGAACTCAGATGCTCAGACCTTAGGGAACTTGGGAGGCTTTTGGAGGTCACTGAAATCACAGCTGCTTAAGCATTCATTTATTAATATAGTCACACAACAAATCTTTGTGTGACCATTGTGTCCAAGAATTGTTCTATGTGCTGTGGAATAGTAAACTTATTCCTGAATTTTCCAACTCAGCACAGTCTTCAAATATTTTGTTCATTTTCCCCATAAGAATATTCATACTTGTCCACCCACTTGTCCTGAATTTTAATTCAGGCAATACAATCGCTACAGCTGAGGAGGTCCAAAAGGTGTATCCGACCCTTCCTTCAAGGAGCAGTAGTCTCTGAGCAGACAGAGGCAAGACCACAGATGGCACAGATGTGTGACCCTCATGGCATCACTGACTGGGACCCGATGCGGCTGGACTCCAGCTGCTGCAGGCCAGGGCTGAACCCGCCAGCTCCCCAGAGCCCACGCATTGCCTGGTCCCTGAGTTTTGAAAAGCACCTGTCAAATTGAAGCACCAGATGAGGCTGCAGACAGTGTACATCTGCTTAGGAGACACAGATAAACTGCAGCGGGTGGACAGAGGAAGGACAGAACGAGATTGAATGTTGCTTTCTGCACATTATCTTAGTCAAAGTTTAATTAAACAACCTGACCAAGTAGGCATGACTACTGCTGTTTTACAAGATTAAGTAGCTTGTCCAAGGTCATCAAGCTGGTGACAAAGGCAGGAGTTGAGCCCAGTTATCTCTGACACGTACCTCACTACCACGCTCAATCGCCTCCCTGTTGGAAAGGCTTGATGAAAGAGGTGGCTTTGAGCTGATGCAGGTTAAGAGTCAATAAAATAATACACATGCATTGCTTCAGTTAATACAAACAGGTAGCAACTGCAGGGGCAAGGAGAAGATTATCCTGCTGACCAGGGAGGACTTCTTTCTGCTCCTGAGCAGTTATGCAGTACCCAAAAATCCCCCAGCCCTTGACTGGCAATGCTCTCCCCACCCTCCCTGCCCAGCACGCCCTCCTCCCCTGCCCAAACACCCAGAGCACCTCTCGCCCTGCCAAACCCCCTGGTTACCAGGAAACACGATGCCAGTACGGCCGCAATGTCAGCCTGCAACCCGGAAGGTGAGAGACGAGAGATCACTATCTCCCCACAGTCAAGCAGCAGATTCGCTCATTCCCTGCCCCCGGCTGTTTGCACACCTTTCTGCTTTCCCTAGCGCCAGTTCCCTCACTGCTGATGCCTTCCTGCTCTCCCAGGGTGGCGGATTGAGAGCAAAGAAGGCTCTCTGAGTCACAGCGCTCCCCATTTCTCTATCCTTACTTGCCAGGGGGGTTTCAAGAGCTGTCCCATTGCCCTTTCCCTCACGACCTACACAGCATGCTTGGATGACCTTGGGCGGCTCTGCCCCTCAGCTTTGTTTTCCTCATTTATAAGGCAATGATAAAAATACTACCTGTCTTGCTTACCTTCCTACTTAATTCACAGGGAAACTATCAACATGAATTCGTGTAAGTCTCAAACACCAGAAAACGCCAGGCTTTCACCATCATCACTAGTATTTCAAAGTTGGGGAGGGACAGAACTTTTCCTCCAGGCCTTCCTGACAAGGCCCTGTCAGCCTGCGCACCCTCCCTCTAACTGCACCTCAAGTCCTCTTCCCAGTCATGTTCCCTCTTCCTCCTTCCCCGAGGATCCCCCCCGCCCCCCCCGCCCCCCCCACGCCCACCCGCCCCCCTGCCTGTGTCCTGCCCCCCCCACCGCCCTCTGCCCCCTGCCCCCTGCCCCACACCAGGGCTGTGAGAGGCTGCCCTCTGTCGGCAACCTGATTCCAGACCCCAGCTGCCCCTCAAATCCGCATTTTGGAACTATATTGCCACCTAATGGTCCGCAGAGGCACTGCTGCCAAACCGAATTAGCTCAGCTGTGGTACCTATTGCCACAGGGTCTTTAGAAATAGGGAAAAGGCAGAACAAATTTCCCCATCTGGTTCCTGAAATCCATCTCTGGGATGTACGAAGATCTTCCCATGCTAGGTCAGGGCTTTTAGGGCTCAAAACCTGCACAGGAAGCTCCTGGGGTATTGTGCAGGTGGAGAAGGAGGGAGGAAGAGCATACTCCCTAGAGGGGTAACTTGCCTGACTTGTAGGCAGCCCTATTTGCCTACTTTATTGTAGTGTTTAATGTCACTGCATATCCTCTCTGCCTTTGCCCCACAGTGGCCTGGCCCTTGGTATGCCTGACCTATAAAACCTCAAACTCCTCACAGGGACCTCCTCCCCCCCACCCCCCCCCCCCATCATTTGCTTATAGTAAAAGAGCCAGTAACACATTTCTATTGTGCCCTTCTTCACTGAACCTATAGTCCCTTTTACAGATGAAATTCACTCAAAAGGTAAAAGCAGGGTCACAAACAGTGACTCTGACAGAAGGGAGTGGGGAGTACCCAAAGAAAAGGGAACAGAGAGGAGGCCTCCCATGAGACCAAAGGTACAGAGAGAAAGCCCTGAGCTTCTCCTGAAGACCCTGAAACAGAGCCCCAGGAAGAGGTGATGACAAAAGACAAAGGCTTCTCAAGCCTCACAAGAGGAAGTGGACCCAAGAGACATGCATCGAGGTCAGAGAATGGCCATGCAGAAGGAAAGACAGCAAACAGAGCTGTAGCCAGCGCCTGAGCCCTGTGGCCAGGGCACAGGAAATGGGGCAGAGCCCCAGGACCAGAGCAGGGCAGAGTTGCAGCCTGAGACTCTGGTAGCACAGGGCAGCTGGAAGAGAGAGGCTCTGGAGCCACCAGAGTGTGACAGTCAGTCCTTGGGGCAGTAACTTGCCTGGGCCTGGGGCACAGGGCTCAAGTCCTGACCAGGAGCTTCAGCCAAGTCCAGGCCCTCAGGGCCAGTGCCAGGCTGCTAAGGCTACGGGAAATGTGAGTATCTGGGCTAATGCACAGGCCTTGAGCAAGCTCTGAGCCACGACACAGTCCCCCTGCATGACTTGGTCTCAGAACCTATCAGTACTTCCTAAACCCCTCAAACACCCCCTAGCCTGAACCAGGAGAATGCCCTGGGAGGTGGGGCTACAAAAGGAACTGACTGCCCCCAGGGTTGGGTGGAGCCCAGCCCTTGGGGGGGGGGGTACAGAGAGAGGTGTGTCAGGGGAGGAGCTCAGCCCAAGCTGGGGGTCGGCACCGAGGAGGGTGTTCTCCGTTCATTCTGACTTGGCACCTCATTCTGCACAGAACTTTTTGGAAGTTGGAGGGAAGAGGACCCTCAGAGGGAGGTGTTGCCCTCAGCAAGGACTCTGGAATCCCCTGGACTCAACAGGGACTGGGAAGGCATTCCCAGAAGCATCAACTCCTGGGCAGCTCAGAGCTCTGGCTTGAACTCTAACCAAAGAGTGCCCCAACCGCTGAACAGGCTGGGGGCCCTATTTCTCTAAGGCCTGTATCCCTCCCTTGGGGTGCGCCCTGCCCCTCCCTGAGTCACCCCAAGGAGAGAGGGGGAAAAAAGGGAAGAGAAAAGCTGCATTGACTAGAGAGGAAGGAAAAGGAAACAGCAGAGGAGGGAGGAGAGAGGCCACATAGGAGTGGGTGACAGAAGAGACTGAGAGGGCAGATCTAGGGCAAATCTAGGGCAGGGAGAGATCGAGAAAGGGCAGGCCAAACATCCCAAGGGTGCCCCTAGAGCAGGGCTCAGGGGCGGGGAGCCCAGGGGGCGGACCAGCCATGTCTCATGGGACCTACTATGAGTGTGAGCCCCGGGCTGGCCAGCAGGCACTCGAGTTCTCAGGGGCCCGAGCGGGGCCTGGGGAGCTGGGGGACATGTGTGAGCATGAAGCCTCCATCGACCTCTCTGCTTACATCGAGTCTGGGGAGGAGCAGCTCCTCTCTGACCTCTTCGCTGTGAAGCCAGCACCGGAGGCCCGAGGCCTCAAGGGCCCTGGAACCCCCGCCTTCCCTCACTACCTGCCACCTGACCCTCGGCCCTTTGCCTACCCCCCACATACCTTCGGCCCAGACAGGAAGGCCTTGGGGCCTGGAATCTACAGCAGCCCAGGGAGCTACGACCCCAGGGCCGTGGCTGTGAAGGAGGAGCCTCGGGGGCCCGAGGGCAGCCGAGGGGCCAGCCGTAGCAGCTACAACCCGCTGCAGTACCAAGTGGCACACTGCGGGCAGACAGCCATGCACCTGCCCCCGGCCCTGGCAGCACCCAGCCAGCCCCTGCGTGTCCTCAAGGTAAGAGCAGATCGTTTCTCCTTGGGGCTGGAGAGAGGCTGGTATGGATGGGGAAACTCTGAGCTTCCTGCTTAAATTCTTAATTGGTCTGTGTTTGGCGTTGCTTTGTGAAATTGGCCCATCCCAAAGCCCTCTGCACCCACCACCCAACTATGACCCTGCTTTCCTTCTCTGCGAGTTCGCTCCCACCCTGGAGCCCGCTGTGTCCTGCAGTCTCTGTGCCCAGCTGAACTGCCTTGATCTCAGGCCTCCACCAGCTTCTCTGCTGCCCACCTCCTCCTTTTTCTCTGGAACCTACTTCTAGAAGAAGAAATGCCTGCTGATCATAGAACTGGAAACAAGATAGATTGAACGAAAGCGTCCTCAGAGTGTGGGAGCATGAAAGGAAGTTTTAGTCAGAACAGGGACCCTGGGTATCTAGCAGGGCCAAGGCTGTTCTGACTGGGAACCAGAAGCTGGCTCTGCAGCCCATATCCCTTTGAGGCCTAAGGGTGCTCTGGCTGCCAGCACTCTCACCCTGCCGCCACCCTGCTTCTTGGCCAGCCCTCACCTCTTGTCCCTCCGTGCCTTCCCCACCAGGCACCTTTGGCTGCTGCTGCAGCTCCCTGTAGTCCCCTTCTCAAGGCATCCTCTCCCGCTGGCCCTTCGCACAAGGGCAAGAAGGCGGTGAACAAAGACAGCCTGGAGTACAGGCTGCGGCGGGAGCGGAACAACATTGCCGTGCGTAAGAGTCGGGACAAGGCCAAGAGGCGCATTCTGGAGACACAGCAGAAGGTGCTGGAGTACATGGCAGAAAATGAGCGCCTCCGAAGCCGTGTGGAGCAGCTGACCCAGGAGCTGGACACCCTTCGCAACCTCTTCCGCCAGATCCCTGAGGCCGCCAACCTCATCAAGGGCGTGGGGGGCTGCAGCTGAGTCCGGCTGGTAGACTGTGGGCACCTGGAGATCCCTGCTGGGGTCCTAGAACCCCTCACAGGCCAAGCCTGAGACATGGAGTGTGGACAAATGGCAGTGGGTGGCAAGGGAGGAGGGCAGGCCTCAGCATTATGATTCTACAGCTGAATAAAACTGCACTGTGACTCAGTACTGGGGCTGTACACTGACTGGGCCTGGGCCTGTGTGAATGTATGTGTGGGCAGGGGGGCATGGCCCTGCAGAAGGAAAGACAGCAAATCAAGCTGTAGTGAGGGCCTGGGAATGCATGTGACTACCTCTTGATTCCATGCCCAAATGAATATTTGGGAATTTTCCTGAATATTCAGCAGACACGCTGCTCATAGCTCTCCCCCAAGACAGCACCTGGCCAGACAGCATCTGTCACTCTGTTCTTCACCCCCGACCCTACTCTGTCCTCTGGGCACTGAAAGCACCCTCCTGCCACCATACAGGACCTGGCTCAGCCTCTGGTTACTGTCCTAACAGAGCTCTGTGGCTTGGAGGGAGATCCAGCACCACCCAGTGCCTGCTGACCCCAGCCCTGCTCTCCCTCACCTTGAAGTGGCATCTGGGAGCTCCTGCCCCAGGTGACCAAGAAAATTCCAGATGACTCTGCCATATTTGTGGACCATTAGCTCTTCATCCAGGACTCAGTCCCCTATCTCCAGATCCTTGACTTCAGTCCACCAGATTGACATGTCCCCATGGCTCCCTCCTACCCCCTCCCATCTTGGCCCTCACCCTCTGGGGCCCCAACGCATGAGCATTTGAGTGTTTGGGAGAGGAATCTGTTGGAAGAGGCCTGCTTGTATGTGAGAAAATTGATAGCGTGGAAGATGACAGCTGCCTGTACCAGTGAAAGTGCCCGTTTAGAGCATTTTCCCTTCCACAGAACTCTCACCTAGGAAGCACAATAGTATAGTGCTTGAGAACCTCCGTTTGAATCTCCCTCTGCCACTTCCTCGCTGTGTGACCAGCAGCCAGTTACTTCCCTCTGTGCTGCAGTTTCCTCATCTGCAAAATGGGAGCAGTGCTGTTCCGTTCATAGATAACAGGGCCTACAACAGGACCGGTGTGAATAGCTGTTATTATTCCTTTCTGCTAGAACTGAAAGGACCTCAGAGATCTCATCTACACTTCTCATTTTGCAGGTGAGAAAATTGAGGCCTCAGAGAGGGGAAGGGACTTACTCAAAATTACAAGATTGGTTAGGGGCAGAACAGAAATTAGCTCCATAAAATCACAGATCAGAAGAGGCGCTGGGAAAGACCTCAAGCGATCATCCGATCATCCGGTGGGCTTTGCCCTCAGAGAAGCAAGATAGTGTGAGCCACATTTTATAGATAAAGCAGTTGGGGGGAAAGAGACATTCTCCCGAAGCTCACTCAGCCCCTTTGCTATCTCAGCACAGGGCATCTGCCTGTGTACTTGAAGCTCACACCTCCCCTCAGAGGCACACAGCACAGGGCAGGGCAACTGAATTTCCGTCACAAGTGATCAGGAATGCCCAACAGAGACAGGAAGAGAGACACAATACAGGCTAGAATTTCTCCTAGACCACCAGTTTTCTGAAAGGCAGAGAAACTGGGGTCTTCACCCTCACTTCCCCTTTCTTTCCCTCTCTCCCTCTCTCCCTCTCTCTCTCTCTCTCTCTCTCTGTCTCTCTCTGTCTCTCTCTCTCTCTCTCTCTCCCTCCCTCCCTCTCTCTCCTCCCTCCCTCTCTCTCTCTCCACATTCCCAGTGTCAGAGCCTTTCCACATCTTGGGCATTCTTGTGTGCCATGCCTGCTTTTCCCAGGACTCATCCCTCTCCTGCCTTTGCCTCAGTGTCTCTTGGGCACTGTCTGCCCTACATCTGTGCCCTGGATCCCCTGCCCCAGGTCTGGTTTGGGCAGCCAGATCTGAACCCCACTCCTGGAGCTACCTCAATTTGGAAGGGGGAGGTGCCAATTTCTGTGGATGCCTGGAAGAATCCCGCACCTTCCTTTCAGCCCAGGGGGATGGGTTGCATAGGGGGGGTTGTACAGAACACACTGGGTGACTCAACCTCCAGATTTCCTCCTCCTCATTCAAGACCACTGCCCTGTGACTTATCTTCAGTGTCCTGGGTGATGGGACCTGGGTTGCTTCAGCATCAACCCCAGGCTTCTTTCCCACAGCTCTGAAACATGTCTCCTCCCAGCTCCTGTTGCCCCAGTGGTTCCTCAGGGCAGGTGGCTGGCACCAGGACTGGAGAAGAGCCACAGCCCCTGTAGGAGAGAAGGGCCCAACGGGCCCCAGTGTGACACAGAGTGGAGAGCACACCCTAATCCTCTGCAGCAGATCATATCCAGGGCAGGGGTGGGTACAACAGGTAACCAGATGTGAACAAGGCTTTTACCCTGACCCCAACTGATTTGGGCCAAAGTAACTTACCAGACAAGTGTTTGTTGAGCATCTTTCCTGTGCCAGGTCCTCGCAAGGTGCCCAGAACACTGTGGTGACTAAGACAAACGCAGCTCTTAGTTGAAGGAGCAGAAAGAAAAAGACAACACACAAGTGTGTTGAGCATCTTCTCTGTCCCTTCTTGGTCATCCTGCTATGCACCAGGTGGAACAGGAGAGTGAGGTGAGGTGCTGGTCCCGAACCCTTCCCTGACAGCACAAGTACCCTGCACAGCTCCTTCTCACAGAATTCCTTGCCCTAACAGCCTGAGGAGGTGAGGGCCCCCCTGCTGCTACCAGCCTGCTGCACCACCTCATGCTGCCTCCCCTTAATCCTGTCCGTTCACACCTCTGTAAAGCACCTTCATTACGTTCATTAATTACTCAATTTGAATAGGCCCAATGGGGAAGCTGAATAAACAAGCAGGTGGGAAGGCTATTTTTAGCTGGAGCAGCCAGATATGGTCTCTTTGAGGAGTAACATTTAAATCGAAACCTAAAAAATCTCAATAAAGAAGCAGATGTGCCGTGTTGGGGAAAAGGGCGAACAGAAGGGAGAACGAATGCCAAGGCCCTAACGTGTCAGGGTGATCAGGAAAAAGGAAAGAAGCCTAGGGAGGCTGGTGGAATGGAAACAAGGAGAAAGGGGATAAGCAAGAAAAAGACCTCCCTTCCTCCCTCCAGACACTCTTATCCCTCTGCTGGTGAGGACCGTCCCTAAGAAGCTGGGGTGGGACAAAGAGCAGGCTTGTCTCTGCTCCCACCAAAGGCAGAGCTAAAGCCGACAGCCCAAAGGAGGAGCCCCCAGGAAGGGAGGCTGGTTACCCCCACCTCGGCCTGGGGAAAGGCCCGAGACCTGGGGACACAGTAACTTGGGAAAACCTGCAAGTCAAGGTGCAAACAGCACACACAGGCATTCCTTTTGGTTTAGAATTTTACAGCTCAGGCCCACTTTTCCTCCATGAGCATAACTGGGGAGCAGCATAAGAGTTCTGAGCTGAGAGATAGGATCTCAGGCCCCAGGGAAGCGGCCCAGGAGGAAGGCTGTTTGGAGATACTGTGGAGAGGGGGAAGCTGCCCAAGGTGAGCATGCCAAGGTCAGTCATGGTGGAGGCCGCTTGTGAAAGCCTCTCCCCCTGCTCCGTGCACACCTCCCCACCCCACCCCCACAGATTGCCACACTCCTGGGCCCCCAGGGCCCCCATCCCAGTGTTGCAAGATCCCGGTTGGGGTTGTGGGGGTGGAAAGGCGCCTCTTCACCTCCACCTCCTACCCTACCCCAAGCCAGTGAGGGGAATATGGCATGGAGGGGACCGCACAGGAGATGCCAAGGCAACAAGAGCCAGGGCTGGCTAAGGGCCTGTGCACCTTCTCTTCCACAGCCGGTCACTTCCCGGCACCCTCACCGGCCCCCAGCAGGCAGACCTCTCTCTCTTCTCTGACTCAGCCTGGGCTGCTCCAAAGTGGGAATGGTTCACCTGGATAGGACTCCTAGCTGGCCACTGTCAATTTCTCCTATAAGCAGGCCTGGCCTGGCCTCAGAAAAAAAACTTCCATGGCACGTAAAAAAAAATTTCCCAAGGCTAACCCATGGGGAGATGTGTATTTTCAGAGGAAAATGTCTGCAACTGGCCACCAATTCTGACTTCAGGGAGCAGCAGAAGTATCCTAGGACTCAGGAAAAGGAAGACTTCCTTAAATAGGGACAGACCCACCTGCAGAGCCTCCCCTTTCTCTTGTAGAACAGAGATCTGAGGTAGGTAGAGGCAAGCCATACACAGATTGGGTCCATCCCCCACGCCTCAGAAGCCAAGCTTCCCCCCAAGTGAGCCCCAAGCTGTCCAAACCCGCTACCCCCACACCTAGCACTGTCACCCCTGGCCAGACCATCCAGCCCTGCTGCAATCGGGACGGTTTGCAAAACGCCTGCTAGCTCCCGCTTTGTCACCATCTGAGGTTAGGGCTGTCCTCGGGAGATAAGCCCCCGCCCCGCCCGCCCGTCCCAAGTGAGACTGCCGGCCTGCTGCAATCGGGACGGTTTGCAAAACCCCTGCTGGCTCCAGCTCTGTCACCATCTGAGGTTAGGGCTGCACCCCAAGATAAAGTCTTGCTCCGCCCACTGGCTCTGCCTTCAAACCTCGCAAGCAGCGTGGCCAAGAGACAGAGTTCCTGGGAAGTTCACTCAGGGTCTGGGGGGCTTACTCAGGCCCAGTGAAGACCCCTGGTCCTTTCCCCACCTCTTCTCCCCTCCATCCCTAGCCTCACCTTTGCTCATTGTCCTTGTCACCGTCCTCACCCCTCACCCTCCATCTACTCTCCTCACCTGCCAACTTCCATCTTCATCTTTCCTCCTCCCTCAGCTCCATCCTGCCTTTTCACTACAGTCATTCATTTGCTCAAAAAATACTTAATAACACCAACTCCATGCCAGGCACTTTGCTTCTTATGGGAGCTACGGGATAAAGAAGGAAGACGGCCTCTGACCTTGTGGGACTTACAGATTCGTGAGGGGGACAAACAGAATCTCGCAAAGAAATATATAATTCTAAATTGTGGACAGTGCTATGTGGCAAAAGTAAAAAGGTGATTGTGACAGATATTTAAATGCATCAGGAAAGGCTTCTTTGAGCAAGTAACATATAAACAGGTATCTCATGGATTGAGTGCCAGCCTGCAAACCAAAGGGTCACCAGTTCAATTCCTGGTCAGCGCACATGCCTGGGTTG